ATATAAAGCCTCCAGCCTGCGATGGTGCCTATGTGAGTTTTGTTTTGTTTGGACGATTCAGCTGTTACGCTACAGAGATAACATGGTCAGTCTTCTCAAAAGAACCACTCTGGAATGGAGAAGAGATGGTGATCCTGTGTGCTAGAGGGCTGCAGTGGGGTTCTGGGACCCAGACCAGAGCCCCTGAGGAGCCTATCACCAAATGGCCTTCTTGCTCCAGTGGGAAGCCCCTGGGCCATGTGAAGTCTGGGGGAGCCAGGACCAGAGTCCCTGAGAGACAGGGTCTGGATACTGCTCACCAAGTCTGCTGGATGCTCTCTGGGCCTGGGGTAGTCCTGATGGGATTGAGAGTGAGTTTGTGAGGGTCTTTTGGGGTGGGCCAACACCTATGGTGTGGTAAATTCCTGAAAAGCAATGGATGCAGATTCAGTCTCTGTATGCAAGGGCCCTATTCAGAGTTCCAGGAAGAGTCCAGGGCACTTAGATTTGGAATTTTCTCTCTAAAGCACAGCAGTCTACTTGAGCAGACAGAAGTTAAATTGGTGAGTTAAAGTAGTTGAAAGCAACAATAAAAGAGACATCACAAGGCCATGCCTTGTCAGGAAGTGGTTCAGGTAGTAAATCCTCTATCTGCCCTACCTGTCTAACTAACTGTCTCTTTACATACCTGCTTGCCTGTTTACCTGCCCACCTACTTATCCATCCATCCATGCACCCATCCATGCATCCATCCATTCATTCATCCATCCATCTATGAATCTGTCCATCCATTCCAGCCATCCATTCATCCTTTCTCTCATACCATCCATCCATCCATCCATCCATCCACTCACCTATCAACCCCATTCATCCATCTGTCCATCCATCCATCCATCCATCCATCTTCTCTCTTGTTTGCTTTCTCTCTCTGTCTCGTTTACACAACAAAAATGTATGAAGGCCTTCTGTGGGCTGGAGGATATAAGAGCAAACACTGTCCCTATCCTCAACAAACCAACACAGTTAATGAGAGATTAGTCGCACTTGATCAGAGAGTTTGCTGACATGAGTTTGTTCCCTCCATTAGATGGGGAACCCATGGACAGTTGAGAGTGCATTGTCCATCTCTGTATCTCACATAGCCTGTAGAACAGAGCTGGGCGCATAGCTCAAGCACTGCGTATGCATTGAATTGACCTGACCTGCGGAGTGGAAAGGGGTTGGGCAGTTCCAGGTTGGCGGGAGAGGGAGAGGGGCAGAAAGGCAGGAATGTTGAGAGGTAAGAAGTGGCCACAGGCATGTGTTGAAATAGGACTTAGAGGACTTTTTGATGGGGAAAGAAAATAGGAACCCATCACTTGGGCCTCTCTCCCCATTGGGTTTCTGGTTGGAAAGTGGGGCCTCTCGCCCTCCTACTTTCCTTTCCCTTGTTATGCCCTGGGTCTGAAATGCAGCCACATGTGATGCATCCTTGGTGATCCCCACATGACAGCCAAAGAGGGGCGCAAATCTTAGGGTTTCTATGGGTGGCTGGGGTAACCCTGGGTAAGAGGCAGAGCCTCACTGGCCCGGGCAGGGCTTCTGTTGTTGCCCCTGCTGCTTCCTCAGAGTGTCTCTGCTGCCGCCAACCCCCTTTTCTCCAGGCTGACCTCTCTATTCTTACAAAGCTGCCCTTTCCTCCCTGCCTTGAAATCTGATAATGAAACTAATACCTAATATTTTTGCCTCCAAGAGATGCAGGAGGTAAACAGGAAGGCACGAAGGATTAAGGTGTCTCTCTGAGGAAGGGGCGAGGGACAGGCCGGGAGTTAGGTGACGCCTCTGTGTGAAGCCGAGGGATCCAAATGTGAGCTGCTTTGCCCAATGCATTTTTCCATTTGTGCAGAGAAAATAAAACAAAGAGAAAAGAAAACAAGCTGTAAAATGCTTTGCAGAAGTCTGAGTGTGGGCATTGCCACTTGATGTCTCCTGACAGCTCCAAGAAGCAGGGGAGGGAAGGGAGCCCTGCCTTTTGATGTTCGCCTCAGAGTTTTCTTTTGTGTGACCAGTTGTTTAGGAAGAACCTTTTGTTGGCATAAGGTGCGTATGGAAGAGAGCTACCAGCCCCCAGCTTCCTCTTGGAATGGGAAAGGTGGGGGCTGAGCTCCCAGAAGGGGCTCAGAGGCTAGGGCAGGCCCCGCTGGGAAATGCGGGACAGCTGCCTTTACAGAGGAGAACATTTGCCTCCAAGAAGGATGGGACGATGCTGTTGCTGGGCCTTTCCTGGTACAAGGGAGGCCTGAGGAAGTGAGGCCTGGGTGTTGCTTCCAGATCCCTGTCCCCAGGCAGGTGTGACAGGTCCTGTGATTTCTGTGTTTGTAGGAAGATGTAGATCCTGGCTGTAGTCTAGACCAGCTGTTACTTCCAGTGATATGGGTCCTTTCCTCTGAGCCAGTGGACCAGGAGCCAGAAGTCTTAGGTTCTCGTCCGGGGTCCCCCTGGCTCTGTGGTCCTGGGCTGGTTGGCCATTGCATCTCTCTGAGCAGGCCCCTGTCACTCTTGTCTGGCAGAGTATGTCCAAAAAGAGTGAATGTGCACAGGTGTGACAGTCTTCTGCGGGAGGGAAGGTGCAGCTGTAGCCTCTTACTTTGCACCTGGTTGAACTCAGCCCTGGGGACATTTGCTGGAGGACACTTAGCAAGGCTTTGGGAGTTCAATTTGGCTTCCGGATGCTTTCAGACTTCAGGGCAGAAGCTGTCTTTTTTGCTGCATCCCACACTGCTTTCTCTAGAGCCCCTGTCTACCTCTATTTGTAAATGAAGTGACTAATGGGTGAGTGACTTGGCAGTGACTCTAGGAAGAGACTTAAAGAAGCTTGTCTTAACATCAGAGAGACATATTAAAGAGGCAAATGTTTTTCCAAGGATCACAAATTAAAGTAACATGTGAATAAGAAACTGTTAAAAATATTTACAGCTTATATGGCAGAAAAGACAAATGATTTTTCATCCATCCTACATAAGATGGCTACACAGCATGAAAAAAGTCCACCTTATTTGAAAACTGGGCAAATGGCATGAACAGGCAATGCACAAAAAGGAAATATAAATAGAAAAACAACACATGGAGAAATGCCCAACCTTCCTAGTAATCAAAGACCTGCAAATTAAAATCGTGTGTGTGTGTGTCCTCTCTCAGACAGCATGGCAAAGATTTTTTTAAAAGAATGCTGATATCAAATGCATATTACTCTTTTCAAGCATGTGGTGAAATATGAGCTCTCATATCCTGCTGGTGGGAGTATAAGCCAGTACAACCTTTCTTGAGGGCAGTTGGGCAGTTTGGAGCCAATGTTAAAAACACGTAGATTTAAAATTCAACCCAGTAATTCCATGTTGAGAAATTTGTGCTACAACAGTAATCAGAGCAGAGCACAAATATATATGTTCAAAGGTGGTTCAAGGTGGTTACCTTGAATAAGGTGTTCAAAGGTAGTTAACATTTATAATAGTGAAAAATGGAAAACCACCTAGCTTCCCAACCCTGGGAGGTCCTTCTTTTTTTTTTCTTTTTTTGAGATGGAGTCTTTGTTGCTCAGGCTGGAGGGCAGTGGCATGATCTCAGCTCACTGCAACCTCCGCCTCTTGGGTTCAAGCCATTCTCCTACCTAAGCCTCCCGAGTAGCTGGGACTACAGGTACGTGCCACCACGCCTGGCTAATTTTTTGTATTTTTAGTGGAGATGGAGTTTCACCATGTTAGCCAGGATGGTCTCGATCTCCTGACCTTGTGATCTGCCTGCCTCTCAAAGTGCTGGGATTACAGGCATGAGCTACTATGCCTGGCCAAGGAACATCTTTTAAATGCCTCCACTTCTGACTCCAGGGGGCCCACTATGCATAACCATACAACACAGTGCCAGATGACTCTATTTTTTCATTTTTTGTGATAGGGTTTTACTTTATGGCTCAGGCTGGAGTACAGTGCTGCCATCTCGGCTCACTGCAATCTCCACCTCCCAGGTTCAAGCTGTTCTCCTGCCTCAACCTCCGGAGCACCTGGGATTATAGGCGCCAACCACCACGCCAAGCTAAGATTTATATTTTTTAGTAGAGACAAGGTTTTACCATATTGGCCAGGCTGGCCTTGAACTCCTGGCTGTAAGTGATCTGCCCACCTCCGCCTGCCAAAATGCTGGGATTACAGGTGTGAGCTACCATGTGTAGCCCAGACAACTTTTAAACATTATATTTGACATGAGAAGATGTTCATTATTATGAAAAGGAACACCCACAAAACTAGATGTATACAAGTATGATGTATTTTGGTAGGAAAGAATTAAATAGCTCCATGACTGAGCAAGTGTTCTTTCTTTTTCCTTTCTCTTCCTGCTTTTGTTTTTCTAGTGCATGAATTATATATATATTTCTTAGGCTGGGTGAGATGGCTCATGCCTATAATCCCAGCACTTTGGGAGTCCGAAACGGGCAGATCACTTGAGCCCAGGAGTTCGAGACCAGCCTGGGCAACATGGTGAAACCATGTTTCTACAAAAAATACAAAAAATTAGTTGGGCATGGTGGCATTTGCCTGTAGTCCAGCTACTCGGGAGGCGGAGGCAGGGGAATGGCTTGAACCCAGGAGGCGGAGGTTGCAGTGAGCCAACATCGCTGCACTCCAGCCTGGGTGACAGAGCCAGACTCCGTCTCAAAAAAAAGACAGTCATACTGGCGTACAGCCTACTCTAAGGGCTTTGTTTTAAGACTCAGTCTCCAAATACAGTCACATTCTGAGGTACTGGGAGTTATGGCTTCAACATATGAATTTTGGGAGAACCTCAGCCATGGTACTGTTAAGTGCCTAATAAATGCTTCTGGGTGCAAACGGGAGGAGCCAAGGAGGGACTCCTGAAGCACGAGTCTGACTGCCTGGCTCTGCCAGTGGCGAAGGGAGGCGTTGGGGGGTGGGATTTCTCTTGGCGCCTGTGGGTGCCCGTCCTCCCCGCGCCCCTACGGCTGACACCTCTCCCTCTCTTCCCCACAGCCTGCAACTGCAACCTGCATGCCCGGCGCTGCCGCTTCAACATGGAACTCTACAAGCTCTCGGGGCGCAAGAGCGGAGGTGTCTGCCTCAACTGTCGCCACAACACGGCCGGCCGCCACTGCCACTACTGCAAGGAGGGCTACTACCGAGACATGGGCAAGCCCATCACCCACCGGAAGGCCTGCAAAGGTGGGTACACGCGGCGGGGCAGGGGACTGGGGAGACCCTGGGAACCTCAGTCCTCCCGCTCCTTCCTCGCCTCCTTTCTATTTTCTTACAGTCTACGTACAATTTGGCATTGACTGAGGTCACCTCTCTCTCTGTCTCTCTCTCTGTCTCTCTCTGTCTCTCTTACACACACACACACACACACACACACAGTCTCTCTCTTTCTCTCTCTCTCTGTCTGTCTGTCTTACAAGGCCTCCCTGGTATTTGGAGGTGTAAGCCATAACAAAGGGACGATGGAGACATGGCTGAAAGGAGAAGGGAGAACGTGTGATCCCCTCCAAGGGTGCAGGGCTGCGGCCGCCAACACCTCTCCCTCCCCTCCCCCTCCCGGGCTTCTCCTCCCCACAGGTGTGCTGCATACCAGAGGGCGGCGAGTCATGTTCGCTGGGCTTACTGTCTCGGGACAAAGGACTCTCTTTTACCAAATGCACACAGACACACTTCTTTGGATATGTGAGCACCATCCCTCACTACCCGCCCCCCTGACACACACACGCACGCACGCGTGCACGCACACATACAGTCACAGCAAGGTCGGCAGTTTCAGGGGCAGGGTCTCAGAAGGAACATTTAATCTATCTGCAAATAGCTTTGCTTCTCAGGCCCAAAAAAAAAAAAAAAAAAAAATGGGAGACTCTATTTTCGTCCAGTGAAGCAAGTCCTAATGTTTTAACTTTCTGCTGTTTGTTTTTCTCCTACCAACAAAAATGAAGCAATGGTCAGATGATTCAGAGAAGCTGATGAAATGCCAGGGAATTTAGTGATACTGGAGGGTAAGAAGTGGGGGCCCCCATCCTACAATAGATTTTGGGAATTCCAGGAACCAGGGCTTTCCGGCTCCAAAACTTGTGGCCTAGGACCAGGGCCTGCAGTGAACATGGCTTCCCAAGAAGGGATTTACCTCTGAGAGCTCTTGGGCAGCACCTCAGCATGGGTGGGGTGCTGACCTGGATACTTGTATAGACCCTGGCTCAGCAGGGTCCCAAGCCATAGCAGACAGGCCCAGGTTCGTCTGCAGGAGAGAAACCTTTCTGTGGCCACCACTTAGCATATGGATGAAGCAAAAGTGTCATCTGCTTAACAGGAAGTCCACCAGATGTGGGGCACTTGTGTGCAGGACTGGCTAGATAATTTGCAGGGCCCAGTGCAAAATGAAAATAGGGGCTTCCAGCACTTTGGGAGGCTGAGGCGGGCGGATCACCTGAAGTCAGGAGTTCGATACCAGCCTGGCCAACATGGTGAAACCCTGCCTCTACTAAAAATACAAAAATTAGCTGGGTATGGTGGTGTGTGCCTATAATCCCAGCTACTCAGGAGACTGAGGCAGGAGAATCGCTTGAACCCGGGAGGTGGAGATTGCAGTGAGCCAAGATTGCACCACCGCACTTTAGCCTGGGTGACAGAGTAAGACTCTATCTCAGAAAAAAAAGAGAAAATAGGGGGCTTTTAATTCCAAAGCTATTAAGAATTTTGAAACAAGGACAACAGACTTTTAACCAAGCTGGTGCCTTTCTGAGCATGGGGCCCATGAATCCAGCCCAGCCCTGCTTGTGTGGAACACTTTTCTCAAAGTAAAATAGAATAAAATAAACAGGTTCCGAATCTGTCTCCTCCAGGAGAAATCCCTTGATTCCGCTGCGCAGGCATGGGTAGAGTGGCTCCCAAGATGCAAGCAAGATGTCCTTCTGTGTCTGTAGACTTAGGGCTGCCTCTGGTGGTTGCCAAGAGAAACATGAGCAGAAAGGTAGCTGGGCTGTTGCCACGTTTTTTTAAAAAATCATGATTTCAGGTGGGAATCCCCCAGAAGACTGAGCAGAGAATGAACGGGAAGGTGGCCCAGGCATAGGGACCCGAGAAACATCTGCAATGCTAGAAAGGTGTGAGCAGGACAAGCCCCGGGAGAGATGGCTTTGGGCTTTCAGAGAACACAGTTGGAAGGTATCCAGCTCCTTTGCCTGTGCCCAGAGTGTTTGTTGTGTCTCTTTTACAGAATAAATTGAGGCCAGGGGTCTTGTAAACAGCTGGCTTGCACGTAAATTTCTTGGGAATTCAGCCAAGAAATTTTACCCAAGAGTGGCCACGCAGGTGGGCAGTCCTATGCCTGCAAGTGAGAGGGTCTGGGTGAGGAGAGGCAGTGGTCCCTTCCTGTCATGTCAGTTTCCACTGCCCAAGCAGAAATGTGTGTTTCCCAGGGAGGTAAGAAGGAGCAGGGCCTGGTCACATCCACCTAACCACTGTTGGTGTGGGCAGGGAAAAGAGCCATGTGCAGCCTCTCACCACTCAGACTGAGAGATGTCAGGAAGCCACAGGGTCCCGCAAACCTGCAGGTGTTTCTCCAGGGCTCTGCCACTCTGGCTGAGGCCTGATATTGCCCACCTTCCTTTACTAGTTTCTAGAAGGGTCAGATGTAAACAGATGAGGGTATATTCTTGTTTTATGATTTCCAATACTGTGGCCAGCCTAGGCAGCTGTGTCTTCCTTCCCAGCCCTGGACAGCATTTGCCCCTGCCTTGGTGGGAACTCTGGAAGAATGACTCATAGTAGGGGAAAACCTAAGAATGGCTTCAGCTCAGAAAGACACAGGCAAATTCTGCTCAGAAAGACTCAGGCAAATTCATATTCCTGAAATATGGCAGGAAAGGGTGGGACTCTTAGTGCCTCTTGACTGGGGAGGAAAGAGCGTTTCAAGGAAACTGCCATCTGATTGGTGAGGAAAGACAGTGTTTCAAGGAACTTGTCACCTGATTGGTGATGGAAACTATGCTTAAAAATAATTGCCACCTGATTGGTGAGGAAACACAGTGCTTTGAGGTTTCTGCTTTCTGATTGGTGAGAAAAAGCATTGCCTGAAGGGCTCTGCTTCATGATTGGTGGGAAAATATCTGCTCTCTGGTGAGCAAAAATTTGACCCAAAAGACCCAGCCATCTGATTGGTGAGGAAAGACATCTCTGGAAAGTCCAGATCTTTCCTCTCAACTCTTGGGCTGTCATGCTCTTAGGGGATATGGGACACTTCCCACCGAAAAAGAGGCCCTGAGAACTTGGCAGGAACCATCTTTAGGAGAAGTTCAGATGCCGGCGGGATGTGTACCCTTGAGATCTTCACACAGGGGTCTCATGGTCAACCCCCTACCACTACCACCACCACAAGTGTCTCCTGCCTTGTGTTGCCAGAGCCAGATGGTTCAAGGAAATGGTTTCTTGGGCGGAAGCACTTTGGCCCCAGTATTTGATCTTTGACAGTTTGCTCTCAGAGGCTTCTGAAATTTTGTAGGTTTGGTGCTGCCCCCAGACCCTGGCTTTTTTGTTGTTGCTGTTGTTTAGACAGAGTCTCGCTCTGTCATCCTGGCTGGAGTGCAGTGGGGTGATCTTGGCTCACTGCAACCTCCGCCTCCTGGGTTCAAGCGATTCTCCTGCCTCAGCCTCCCAAGTAGCTGGGATTTCAGGTGTGTGCCACCATGCCCAGCTAATTTTTGTATTTTTAGTAGAGACAGGGTTTTACCATGTTGCCCAGGCTGGTCTCCAACTCCTGATCTCAGGTGATCCGCCCGCCTCAGCCTCCCAGAGTGCTGGGATTACAGGCGTGAGCCACCCTGCCTGGCTGGTTAGGCCCCAGATTTTGAGATTGACTTCCGGGAGCCCCGTCATAGGCCTTCAGGTGAGGGCTGCACTTCTTTGTTTCAGACGAATTTCACAGGGGAACAGGGACAAAGGGCAGGGGTTCTTGACTCTTAAATTGGCTTGGGAATGGCCTCTGGGGCCTCTTTACCCCCCACTTCTCAGGGCCTGGGCAGGGGGCCGAGGCCACCCATATATTGCTGGTGATTGGCTGACTGGGAACCTTGTCCAGTGCAGAGCAGGGGTGACCCAGACAAGAACAGACTGGCATAAGGGCATCAGATTCCAAACATTACTATGTAGTTGCCCCATTTGGGAAGTTTTGTAACAACAAATTTGTTGGGTCCTTTCTACCCTCCCCTGGTTTAGAAGCAAACCAGGGCTGGCAGGGCTGGTGTGTACAAAGGACTGTAATAAACATACCCAGGGAACAGGCGGCTGCACTCTCCAGCTATTCAGTGCGATTTCACAGCACTGGGACGGCCTCATTATGGTGCGAGCTGTTGTCCTATACAAAGTCAGATGAGATAAATTTCTCCCTTTTCTCCGCCGAATGGTTTGTGAATGATACTCGTCTTGGAATCTATCAAAAGCTAGGAGGTTTTGTTTACCATTTGTCTTCTTTATGGACTTTGGGGGCTCTTTCTCTTTAGAGCCGGCAAAGATGACGTTGCCATTTAACCATTTCAGTCATGCCCCCATTGATAACAATATTAATTTATCATTTTCCCAAACCATCTGTGATGGATAAAGACATTCCAGGAGTCTCCCGTGAACCGAATTGTGATGAGAATTAAGAAATTAACCACTGCATCCAGCATCCCCATACAAAGGGCTTGCATTCCATGTCACTGAGCTGCCTGTTTGCTTCTCTCATTGTCCCTTCCCCCTTCAAGCCCACAGTTCGTGTGGCTGAATGAAGGCTAAGAAGGTGCTCGAGTCCCAGGAAGATGCGATAATTAGCCAGGGTAAAAGCATGCAACCGTCCTCACATCTTTGCTAGGACATTTTTGCGACTTCTGTCCACCCCTTATTTCTTCCAGCAGCTCAGCCAAGGGGAAATGAACGCTATGGTCTTGCCCGCTCTGTTTCCCTGGGCCACTTTGTGTGGGGCGGGGCTCCCCATGACTTTCTCATTGGTGATTCTCTGCCTTCACTTTATCATCAACATTATTTATCTGTAACTTACGCTGTGAGTCTCACCCTTGGCCGTGCATTGAAACCACTTGGGGAGATTTAAAAACACTGCCACCTGGATCCCACTCCCAGAAATTCTGGTTTAATTCATGGGTCCGGATGAGATCTGGGCATTGGGAATTGGGAAAAGCTCCCCAGGTGAT